TATAGATCTGTACGAACTATTCGTATGATTAAAGATATTCATCAACCATTTTGGACATCATTATTTTCCGTCCCTGATCAAGGTAAATATTAAATAAATAAATAAATAAATAAAAATAAACTTTAATAATTCGATTTTATTTAGATGATAATACAATAAATAAATTGGCTGAAAATCTTGAAAAAACGTCCATAATTAATAATTAATATTTTCAATAATATATATATATCTATATTTTTTTTTTTCATTATTTGTTTAAATATTTATGTATGTGAACTAGATATTTTTTTTTTCCCGTTAAGTTAGATAATAGATAATTTTTTCGCGACTTTTTTGTGATTATTGAAATCATTAAATTTTCTTTCAGTTTTTGTAGATAATGACTGAAGGAGCTTTACAAAAAGTTCGACAATGGTTTATGATAATGCGCCATTATGGTGGAATAAAAAATACTTTTTTAGCACTTTATCGGTATAGGAGAGAAAAAAAAGATACATTTACATTTTAAATTTATTTATCATTTTTAGTTATGATGATTTAAAAGTTGGTACATGTGTTGGTGCTGATAAATACGGTAATCATTATTATCAAAATCAACGTTATTTTGTTGGTAAGTTACGAAAAAATTAATTTTTTAGATAGTAAACATTTATATTTTCTTTTTTAGGTCGTAGTCGTTGGGTTAAATATGCTGATCGTGTTGGACTTGATTATGATGCAAGTCAAATTCCACCTGAATGGTATAATTTCATCGAACAAACTAATAATGAGAGGAGCGGTTGATGGTCCATAACTGTTGAAATTCGATTGCTTCCTGTATTCAACTATCATACTAGATGTTCAAAGACGAGTCCGATAGTCGACTCTTCGTTATATATTAACCTCATGAGCGCTCAGAAATATTTTCATATGGTTCGATGTCATTTTTCCAGCGCTACAAAAAAATATTGAATATCAGTAAAAAAAAAAGAAGACTCAAAATCATGTTTTGCGAACAGTCTACTTAGGATTTCTTTAACTGTTACGTTTTTCTCATCAATGTTTTTACATCATTTTGTAGCGCTTGGAAAGTGCTAATGTACATACGACTGCCATTTACTTTTCAACTTAAACAAGTCCTATGTAACTAATCCTATCAGGGCTCATATCGGACGTCTTAATGATAGTTTGACATAGAAAACATTAAAAAAAGTTCTTGTGAATATCAATGTCAACAGTTATTGACCTTCATTGTTTATGTTTGATTTGTTTATATAGGCATCGTTGGTTACAATATATTACTGACGAACCACCAACAACTAAACCATTAAAACGACAGACTTGGATGATTGATAATATTGAAAATAAATCTGGTACAAGTCAAGTTTATATACCATATACAACAGTTCGACCTAAAATTGAAAGTTGGAAACCACCATCATCAACAACAACACAGAAAACAGCCACAATGAAAACTTAATTTCAATGACTTAGTTTGATAAAAAGAAATTTTTTTTCCTTGATCCTTTTTTTTTTTGTAGAATTTAAATGATCCTTATCTCGCCCTTTTCTTTTTCATTTAAAAGAAGACAAAAAAAAGATCATACGATCAATTAAAAAACAAATACTTATTTCTTTCTCTTTCTATGTTCAAAGAGGAAACCAATGAAATAATTAGATATTAATGGTATATAGCAAATGCTAACTCTTCTTTTGTAGTACAGTGCGTAAAAAGTTTTTATTTCAATATTTTACGATACAATTGACTTAAAATAAGTCATAAAATTCATTTTAATTTTCTTTCTATGAATAGAATATGCACGTCATTAATAAGTTCCAGTTTTTGAAGGTCAGAATTTCGACGTGATCTGAAGTACTTCTCATTAAAAGTCTTATTTCTATGAATAATTGGTATATTCTATAGCAGTATCCGATATTTGTCAAATTTTTATTACTCAATTTTTATTCTCTTGAGAAGATTAATTTAGGAATTATCGTTTCCTTCCTTTTATTTCTTAGGAAGAAACACAGAAAAATATGTCCTTGGTCTATTTTCGTCCTTTATATTTCACAATTAGTGAACACGATTATTTGGTACAGTTTTGTTCTTTTTTAGTATTTCTTTTCTTATGTATATTACCTGCGACTTTTATATCGTCATTTAAGAGACAGTGCACTTGCTATACATCATTGTCCAATTTCAATAAAGAAAAGTCAGTAAAGTAGAAGAAAAGATTGTATGATACATAACATCTTGTTCTACTGAGTTTTCTCACGTTCGCTAATAAAACTTTTAAATGAAAGAAAAAAGGCCTTTAGTATGTGCAAAATATTTGGACTACAGACCCACTTTGAAATCCAATTTTTTTTTTCTTAACTCGATTTCATTTCAGGCTTTTAGGACAGCTAATAAAAAGAATTCGAGCTCGAGTCGAAATTTATGTAAACTCCAATTAAGTTTTAGTCAATACGTTTTTATGACGATATTTTTTTAAGAGGCATCTTTGAAAAATATTTTTCAACCATCCGATTTCGATGACATTTTCAGTAAAAGTTTCAGTTCGATACATTGGGTCTATGAAGAATTAGCTTAAGATTATGGATCTGTCTATCGCAAATTTCTCTGTCATCTCAAAATTTTGCAAAACTTGAGTTGATTTTAAACCATGATCAAGACATAACACTAGAACTCCACCCAATCTGAGTTTTCTGTTTTTTTTCTTGAAAATTCTTCTGATAAAATACGAAAAAAATTGGAAAAGCTAGTCCTATCAGAGCATGTGTATGACTCTTCATTCGATCATGTAGTGTCTTATGTTTGAGTGTTGTATTCACTTATCATACTTAACAATATATGATAGCCGTGTTCATCACCATCAAAAGTCAACAGAGAAGCTTGGCAAAATTAAGAAATTAGAAAAAATGTTATTTAGATTTTAAAACTTTTTCCGAACTCTAATGCAGTTACAAGAGTAAGAACATATAAGAGCTATTTTTAAATCATCATCAATTGCTCTCTATTCATGCTTTATCTAATGAAGAATTTCATGCGAAATGATTGGTAATAAAATAAAGCGGTCTTTGAAGAATCTAGAGCCATTTTGTTGTTCAAAATATTGATATTCATGTTTTTAACATAACTGCATGATTCGTACATGGCAGGATGACTTGTATGAATTGTCCCATATTAAGATATCTCCGTGTGAGAGCTATGTCAATCGACTGTCAGTCCTATAGTGTTTATTTGGTTAAAGTTATATTACCATTTTAACTCCTTGTTTTCTTAATAATTCGAAGAAAGGAAAAAATAATATATATTTTTAATTGACTATAAAAGTTCAAAGAAACAGCTAAAAAAATATATACTTTTCAATTTATTTTAAAGTGGGCTTTGCTAATTACGATAACATACATTTTGTAAAGACACCATTTTTACATCGGTCTGTAACAAATTTCGATTGTAAAAAGTAATCTTCAAGCCAAAATGAATAACAAATTTGGAATCAGCATAAAAACCTGTGCCAATTTATATGTGTTTCAAAATATTTTTATGAAATTTTTTTTCTCGAAAAGATTCAGCTGAAATCCCCTTAGGATTTAGTTGAAGATGTATTTAAGTGAAAAATTGTATGATCAGTGTAAAAAAATTTCTAAAACTATAAAATGTTACTACGAAAGCCAGTAAAAATAGTTTTCTCATTAAATTCACTTTTTTGACTGACCTATGATGAAAACCTCAGCTGAATGTTATGTACAAAAAATAGAAGTTCATCGAAAAACTTTAAAACACATACAAGTCGACTCAATTTTTTATGCTAATTCCAAATATATTATCCATTTTGACTAAAATCCTACTTTTTACAATCGGATTTTTATGAAACTTATGTTGTTTTAATTAACAAAGTTCACTTCTAAGTTCATGGAAGCTATCTAACTTTATCGCCTTTCCTTCAAGCTTTTATAGTCAATTTAAAACATATGTTGGTTTTGTTCTTTCTCGAACCATTGCGAAAATACTGAATTGAAATATTAATATCACTATATGATTTTCATATTTACATGATTATATTGAGTAACACTTAAACCGTTCGAGTTAAAGCTTTTATTAGAGAAACACTATAGAATAGATAGTCGATTAGCATAGTTTTCAATTTGAAAAGTCTTAGTATAGAAAAATTTATACGAACCAGATCAGTATCTTTCAGAAATCGTTTCATTTTGTTACCCAAAGGTTGTTAATGAAATTCTGCATTAGATAAATCATGCATGAAGAAAAACTGAGAATGGTTCAAAAATTTCCTTTATACATTCCTTGTTTAATCATTCAATATGAAATTTTTTAATAGGCAAACAACATTGCAAATTTAACCTTGAAACTATTTTAAAGTAATAACTCATTATTTTCTTAATATTTGCCTCTAAGACAATATTGAATAGAAAGATGACACATTAAGAAACTTTTTTGTTTTTTTGATAATGATCGAGAAATTCTAATATATGATATCAAAATATCAAAATAAAAATTTGCTCACTAATTCGAACTTATTATTTTTTCTATTCTGTTGTCAAGCACGAAAAAAAACAGAAAGAAAAAAAAAACTAAACTTTTCTATCTAATCTAATAATCAACTTGTTATTCATTTCTTCTTCTTCTCTTCAAAACACACGTGCTATTGTCTTGATCAGTTAATGAGACAATACCCCGATTGTTGAATGTCATTATTCATTAGTCAATCATTCAGTATTCGTGTTTGTGAACGATCTTTTCTTAAACCATTATAACATTGATTGCATCGCATTCATATATTATCATCGATCTTGTATTAATATATTAAAAAGAAAACAAAAAACAAAATAGTATCTGGTAAGTTTGTGTTTGGCGGGGTATCATAAAGAATGATGAATGCGCCAATCAATCAATATTTTTCCTTGCGTGGCGCCGATCTTGATACAAATAAACAAATAAATAAATAAATAAATAAATAAATAAATTTCAATTCTTACAGATTTTTAATAAACAAATGCTTATTAATCAAACAACACGAGTCAATAATCGACGTATAACAAGAACAAATATTGATTCATCATCAATAAAAAAGACTAAAAAACAACAGCAACAAGATTTATCAAATGATGATATATCTAATCGACGTAAATTACGTAGTTCAAATTCTGATACAATAGAATCTAAAACACATCGACAACAAGCGTTACCAATACGTAAAGAACGAAAAAAACGAATTAAAAAAAATATTAATAATCAAGAACAAGATATAACCATTACTCAAATTAATACGAAAACAAAAAATAATAACGATGGTAATGAATTATAAATTGGTCGAAAAAAGTCTCGATATAAGGTAAAAAGTACCTACACTTCAATCTTTTTATCTATTAGTTTGACTACAAACAGAGCATGGCGAACTTTGATCGCAAAGACTAATCAGAGGAAACAAGAAAGTCGACGTAGATTCGCGGATTGAAGTACTCTATCTTTGACATACAATAGACATGCGAATCTTTATTTGTTAATAAGAAAATGAAAATTTAGTTCAGTAAGGGAACTCTCCACTCTCGCTTTTAGATTCTCTAGGGATTGGTTGGACAAAAAAAGATTACGAAATTTTCAAAGCAAAGAGATATCGATAAGCAGAGAAATACTAGAAAGAAAGTTCTCGAGTTGCTACTTGTGATCAGAATTTGCCAAACTCTATTTGTAGTCAAAATGATTGACGTTTAAGTACTTTTTATTTGATAGCGAGACTTTTTGCAACTACTGTACAACTATAGATTTCAAAAATTATATTTTTGTAGATATAATTAATACTGTTGAAATCAAACAAGAAGATGAACTTGTTAATAATTATTCATTACTTGATTCATCACCATTATCTCATTCAATGTTTGATTCAATAGTTGATCATAATCAATTTTGGCATCGTAATCAAATAGTAACACCAACTGGTTATTATTTACCAGCGAATTCATCACCATATGGTCATCAATCAAATACAAGTTATCATTTATCAACAAGTGATGTTGATAATTCAAACTCATCAATACATGATAATACGACAAAACTAATAAATAATAATAATAATAATAATAATAATAATAATTGTGGACAATCAAGAAAAGATAAATCACTTGGTTTACTTTGCCAGAGGTAGGATTGATTGAATATATTCAACATCAGAATGTTTTTTTTGTCGTGTACATTTCGTCTAGATTTATTTCAATGTATCCACCCAACGTTCATCCTGTAAGTAGATTTTATAATTTATAATAACTTTAGATTCTTTGTTGTTTTTTTTTATTTATGTGAAATGGATTTAAAATGTCTATTTTTTTTGTTTATTTTAAATGTATGTATATAGGGTGAAATGATTGTTATTTGCCTTGATAAAATGGCTCGGGTTCTTGGTAAATGAATTTTTTTTATTTAATTTTTATCTATAACAATAGAAAAATGTTTATTATAGAAACAAAACGAAGACGAATTTATGATATTGTTAATGTTCTTGAATCAGTTGAAACAATGAGTCGAATTGCTAAAAATCAATATCAATGGCATGGATTAGGAAATTTAGGTCATACATTATCAAAACTTAAGGTTAGAAATGTTTGTCGATGATGTAATTTTATAAATGAGATTTCAAATTTATAAAAGAAAGAGTACATGATTGATATTTGAATCGTCGGATATAAGCTTTCCGAATGAAAAGAGCATAATTATCAAAGGCAGAAGAAAAATCTACATCGAGTACGACACTTAATGCATAAATCAACTTGTCTTTAAATTTTAATCTTTGGAGAGTTAAATGTTAGAATATTGAAGGGTGTGAGTGAGCAGACGTAAGGAGTGAAATTTAATGCAAACTTTTTGTAATTATAGAGTTAAATGAATGATCAGAAAGTTTTCAGCGAAGATGTTTGTTTATTTCGGACTGTTTGAAAGTATTTCCGATATGTCAAGAGCTATGAATTAGAATACTCTTTTTGTATATGGGCTTAGAAATTTCGGTTCAGTTTTTATTCAACATTAACAAAGGACTTTTTTGAAAGATCTGAAAAGTTATTTTTATTAGTGAACTAACAAGTTTATTGTTTATCGTATAAGTTCCTTTAAGAATGTGCTAACACTTGTGGAAGTCGGTCGTTCTGTATAGCGGAAACTTTTCTACAAAATAAAATATTGAATTAAATTTAGTTGTTATTTAAGCATTCTTTCAAGAATTCCTTTTAATGTAAAACCGTTGTCAATGTTTCAAAAGTAAGTATTTAGACAAAACGAAAATTAAGACACTTTGCCGAAAGATAAAAGATTGTTCATTTTGCAGAGTAGCCTCCGATCTACCAATTGATATATCAATAAAGATTCGAAGTTTTAGTTTTGAATAATTTTTGGGCTTTTTAACTATTCTCGAACAAAAATTCTAAGCTCTTATTCGAAAAGAGCATTCTAATTCATAGCTTTTGACTCGTAGAAAACAGTTTCCAGCAGATCAAAAGTGAAGAAACATTTTATTCCTACCTATTTTGAATACAATGTTTGTTTCATTTAGAACTGAACTTCTGAGGGTCAAAACTTCTGAATACAAACTTGTATTAATGGGGGTTGTCTATTATAGCAAAGAAATCTATTTTCTCAATAATGAAAACAATATTTCTTAAAACTAATAGATAATTTCTTTCCTAATCATGCGATGAATCAAATCAAAAAAAAGAATCGAATAAATATTGCGACAATCGAGAATTTATGCGTTGAGTGCATATCAATTGTTACAGGTCTTTTAATAAATTTTTAAACTCTAATTTCCTTTATTTAATAGACATTAGCATACAAATCTGGCTTTGTTGAATTTGCTCGTTCAATTCGTGAACAAATCGATCAAATGGTTCTATCTGGTCAATTGAATACTGGTCAAGGAACACAAAATGAAGCACTTAAATGTATACAAATCGTATCGACTGGTAAAAATGTTTCATTATCAGAGAACGATGAAGGTAGAAGAAAAAAAAAAACAAGAAGAAAGAAGTTCTTCAAATAAAAATTATCCGTTCTTTTATTTTTATTTTTTCTAGTTGCTCGTGAAGAAAAAGCATTGGGTATAATGGCACAAAAATTTCTTATGCTTTTTCTTACATCTGATGTAAGTTAAAAATTCAGTTTTAGTTTTTTCTTTTATTTGATTTTGAATTATTTATATAAATTAATATAAAAATAATTTTAAAAACAAAGGATCGAATTGTCAATATTATCTTTGCGGCTAAAGTTTTATTGGGTGATTCGAAAAATGAAATAACTGAATTTGGTCGTTATAAGAGTAATCATATTTTTAAATATAGTTTATTTTGCATATGTGTTGACTATTAGAATTTCTTTATTGTTTTTTTTTTTTTTTTCTATTTTGATTATAATTATTTATTTTGTTAATAGCAAAAGTTAGACGATTATATGACATTGCAAATGTTTTATCAACAATTAGTTTAATAACAAAAGTAACAGATCCAAGTTATCGTGGTCCTCGACCTGCATTTCAATATATTGGACCTCGAACTGAAATTATACATCACGCAGAAAGTAAGATTATTTTACATATATATGTGAAATAATTGTTTTATTTTTAAAAAAATTTAGATGTTGTTGATTTTATTAATTCTGAAAATACAAAATCAAATTCAAAACATTCATTATTTGATCATTTTAAACGAAATCTTTTTCTTAATTGTACGATTCCAAGATTTGATCCAAGAAATGGTTTACTTGGTCTAAAAAGTGCATTAGATATGAATGGTCGAAGTAGTTCAGGTGTTACAGTTACTGGAGTTTATTCAAATAATGTTGGTGGAGGTAAGACTTCTGATGAAATGTATTCTATTCTAAAAGAAATATAATCAGAAATCTCAGATAGAGATTTGCCAGTAATGGTAGAGCTTGAAGCCTATGTTGTTGGTTTGGAATCTGCTCGAATATGAAAACTTCCTGCTAATTGGATCCTTACCCTGGTTCGGATCCGAAAATTTCTATTAACTGAATCCGAATCATATTCGATAATTTTGCATCCGATGGACTCTGTTAAAGATTCTATAGAACAAGGTCATGGTTTGAAATTTTTTCTCAGCTTGAGTAAGACAAAAAATTTACCGTGCACATCTATACTCCGAGATAATGAAATATTTTATTATTGTGAGTATCATTGATCTGAAAACAAACATATAACAAGTTAAATGAAAATATCTCGCTAACGCCTTTTATATGATTTATTGAAATCAAAATCAAATGAAAAGAAAAAAAAAGATTTCTTGCATTAATCAAGCTATCGTGCTGTTTATATAATATTGGGTTGATGCAAAATTAACGACCGTTTTCATTGATTCTAAATTTATTCAACAATACAATACCAAAGTACACTCAAAACATGTTTAAATGATCATTCTAGAGCATAGTCGCCATCTACTTCAATAACTGCTTCCCATTTGCTTGGCAAACGATCGATTCCACGTGCAGAAAAGTGACGATCCTTGGATGCAATCCACGCTTTGACGTCAGCGACAAAGGATGGGAACTGCTTGAGCACCCACCATATTCTCCTACTGAAGCTCCTACAGACTATCACGTCAATCGTCCGCTCAAAAATCGGCAGACGGGCAAAGTCTACGATGATTTTGACGATCTTGTCGCTGACGTCAAAGCGTGGATTGCATCCAAGAATCGTCACTTTTTTGCACGTGGAATCGATCGTTTGCCAAGCAAATGGGAAGCAGTTATTGAAGTAAATGGCGACTATGCTCCAGAATGATCATTTAAACATGTTTTGAGTGTACTTTTGTGTTGTATTGTTGAATAAATTTAGAATTAATGAAAACGGTCGTTAATTTTGCATCAACCCAATATTACTGAATAGAGTCCATGTTGACCTAAAGCGAAATATTGAATATACACCTGAAATCAAATGATTAATTTTATTTGATTGTATCTACATAGCAAATGTTAATTTGTCGTTCGATCTAAATTTAGTATTTTAATTAATGTGAAAATATATATTTATATGAAATAAATGATCAAAAGTAATTAAAGATAGTGACAGAACCAGAAAAAAATATATATACAGCCTTCTCACGAGAACAAATATGTGTTTTTAATATTTCAAATCTAAATTACTGATTTATTTTGCAATAAATTGTACTTCAGATGATGATATTCAACATCCAACTAGTAGTGAAAATTCACTAACAACACAACATTCAACATCCTATATTCCTGAATCAAGTAAAATCAAATTCTATATTAAATACCCATTAAAAAAAAGAATTTTTTGCATCTAGAAAAAAGAAAATTTTCAAAATGTAACGATATTGATAATCAATATAGAAATATTCTTGTTCCATCGATTGGATGTAAAATTTTATTATTGTTTTGTTTTTTTGGCAGTAATACTAATTACCTACTCTGCATGTTGTTTTTTTAGTTGGTAATACATCATCAGTAAATCCTATACCACAAACATCTAATCCTACTTATCTTCAATTTACTCCACATGATTCATCAACTACATTTAGTAATATCATTAATCTTTTATTATCATTCGAACATATATATATATATTCATTTAATTAGATTCTTCAAATCTTCTAACATATAATTCTCATCAAACATGGTCATCAAATGATGATAATTCAAATAGTTCATTAATAAATAAAACAACACGACGTCGTAATCAAACAATCAATAATAATATTCCAAAACGACCTGTTGGTAGACCACCAAAAAAACTTCAACAACAAAAAACTGATGAAATACTTATTCAACCATCAGAATCAAACTCATTAATTGAACAAACAACATCAATTAGAAATGTACTTCTATACACGTTTTTTTCTTCTTTCAAAAATAAAGAATCTCGATTATTGTTTTTCTTTTCTTTTTCATTGAAGTCTGATCAACAATCAACAATAAAATGTCATCCACAAGATTTACAAGATATTAATGTTGATATATTAACATATCAAATGCGTAGTGTTCTACCATCGATAAGTAATTCGATAAATTTAACAAATTCATTATTCAAACAAGAAGATATATTATCACCAATAAATACATATCATTATGATAATGATGATCTTATTGAAACAAATACTCTTCCAAGTATTAATTCATTTATGAACAAAAAATATCTTCTTTAAAAATAATAACTCAACATATTTTGTCTTTGCTTCATTGACAATTATTGAGTAATATGAGATGCTTCTTTTTTTTTTTTTTTCTCTTTTCTTTTTCTTTTCTATTATAATGCCTTTGGGCTCGATATATATTCATTGATTGTGGGTATGTGTTTCTTGTTATCCCATCTTTCGTCTTAGCATTTATCGAAGCTATAACAATTCTTTCATTATATACATAGATATGCATATATGTATGATCTTGCTGTTTTTTTGCGGTTTTTCTTTTTTGTCATCAATAACGACAATATCAACTTAGAAGAAAAAAGAAAGGTTTTTCTTTCCTTCGTTTTTCTGTTTATTTTTCTATATTTTTCTTCCGTTGTGTTTTCTTTCTACATGTCGCACCAATGATCACTGTACCCCAAGTAGAAGAAAGATAATAATGGTAGCTACTAACACACATCAGTAAATACGATAACAAGAACCAAAAGATACTTCGTTTATTGTTTTGTTACTATCAGAATAGAAAATGATAAATTATTTGTTCATATTCGATAAATGCATGAATGACCTTTAATTGAAGCATGTAATTAAATTGTCAACAGAATTATTTTTAACAACTGCTTCTTATTTTTTAAATGAGAAAACAACGATGATTACAAATTATTTATAGTTAAACATAGCTGAATCAAGATTATTTTCTCGAATATTTCCATCGTATTTCATTATTTCAATTATTAACAATTATTCTTATTTTCAACGAAAAATATGAATAAATATCATTATTATTTGTTCTATTTATTTATGAATGCATAAGTAATTTTATTTAACTTCTATTTTAATGGGTCATTTTTTAAAACAATTAGTCTATTCTATTATCATCATATTCAAAAAAAAACCTCCATCAATGTCAAACTCTATATATATATGAGAAAATCTTTTGTAAACTATTCTAATAAACAAAAAAAAATATAGCGAATTGATTTCATATTCCAATGTGATATCTTTCTCAGTAATGTCTTTCATATCTGAATTAAGACATCATTCGATAGATTAAGTCCATCAGATATCTAATCATCTATTTTATTTTTAGATTGAATTCTCTATTTTTTTTTCCTTTGTTTCTCTTTGTAATTGGATGAGTAGGTGACGTGTAAAACAAAAAAAGTATATATTAAAATGAATAAAGAAATTTTAATCGATGTCGGTTCACAGTTAGAACATATACGTACGTATCCACTGCTTGATACATGTCATTATTTGTTAGCAGCATTACAAGTTCGGGATGATATACAACAACATCAACCAGGTAAAAATTCATAAAACTTATTTCATAGATTATTTCAAATAGACTCAAAAAATATTTAGTTTAAAATATTTCTTATAGAAGAAATTAATATGATAAAACCTTTTTTGTTTTGTTTTTACTTTTAAATGTTTCATTACAAATCTACTTCTATTTTTTTTTTTTGTCTTTTAGCAACACAAAATTTTACACGTCGTCATCCCTTATCATGTTGGTTATCAACAATGTTACTTTGTTTTTCTGGTTCAATTTTATCAAATTTTTTACTTGGTGAAAGTCCAATAAAAGATTTTGCTCATCATCAACATCTTTTACTAGCCACAATATGTTGGTATCTTGTATTTTATTCACCATTTGATATAATAACACGTTTATTACGATTTATACCTATACGAATATGTGTTGGTGTTGGAAAAGAAATTCAACGAACAAAAAAACTTTTCGATGGAGTTCATACAACATTAGCTATTTATCCTGATGCCTATATTATTGTCATTATTATTGGAGCTATAAAAGGTCAAGAATAGAAAAAAAAGAAGCAATTGCACATATTGAAATTAGATTAATTTAATCATTCTGTCTTCTTTTTTTTAGGCTGTGGTGGATCAATTATGTCATCAATTGATCGATTTATTCGAGGTATTTGGTTACCTACACAACATGAATTTCTTTTTCCAACTTTGTAAGAGAAAAAAAAAAGATTTTCGACTAATTTAATTTTGTGTTTTTATAGAATTATAGTTTTCTATGGAGAAAGGATATTGAATAGATAAAATAAGATTATTAGAAAAGTTTAAGAAGTTTTAAAATTACAAATATAATAGTAAATAATAGAGTCATTAGTAGTTTTGACTGTATTAAGATAGAAAAGCTGTTGCTATCGAAAAGGTCAATATGTATATTGCCATATTTATCAGTAAAAGGGTAATAGAATGTGTCACAAAACTGTGTCAGGATATATATTTTTACGGTTAACAACAAAAGCTTTTATATTGTTTGAATTCAAATTGTAATCTAAGTTACTAAATAATCTTGAGTTGTTTTGTTTTTCATATATCATCTACATGGATATATATATATATAAGCATTTATTTTATTTTCATAATCTTAGTTATACCATTTCCAATCATTCTTCAATTCATATATACTAATTTTCATATAATTACAATTTTTTTTTAATAATTTCATTTGAGTTCAGCCTGCATATAAATTTGTGATTTGATTTTTATACATCCTTCCGCTATTATAATGAATGCTGATTGTTTACACTAATACTATCAATTGATCTAGTATGACAGTCAGATAGATAACAATCTGTGAGCAAATGAAGCTTTCAAAAATTGAAACAATTATCAATAAATTGAATATAAACTCTTTTCAAAAGCAAAATAATCGAATAGAACATCTTCTCTCTAATATATTGCTAAATTAAAAGATCAACATTAATTTCTATATTTGAATAATTGTTTTCAAATCTTGTAATATTTATTTTATCTTAGTGCAACAAAAGCTTGTTTTATATCTGCAACAATCTTTTTACTCGAACATATTCGTATAATACGATTTGAACGTGAATTAATTTATTTATGTGTTGCTTCAATGTTTATATATGTACGACTAATTACAATATTTTTTAAACAATATGATCCTTTAATGCCATTTGAAAATCTTTCATCTGGTTTATTATTCAATAGTTGGTCAGAAACAATTGTAATTAATATTATTATTATTATTTGACTTAATGTTTTTATATTATTGAATTCCTATTTTTTTTTATATTTAGTCTGATGCATATCGACGCGCAACAGTTGCTTCGTCGCCGACAAGTACAACAAATATATCAACACCGCAACAAGCAACAATAATACCGGCTGCTCTGACACCACTCACAGCAACAACAACATTGATGGGTTCGAAAAAAGAAACAAACAATCCTGATGGACAAATGAAAGGACTTGATGGGAAAAAACGAGATTAAAAAAAATCGTTTTTTATCTATTTTTTGTTTCGTGTAACAACGCAAAGAGGAAAAAAACACATGAATCTCATCCTACTAATTCTCATTCTTGTAGATTTAGCTGCTAACCTTTTCATTTCAAATTCTTTTTTTTTTCTTATGTACACGCACATATTTTATATTTGTCATACGGTGCACTTGGACATGATCAAAATAAAAAAAAAAGCAGAAATGAAAAATGTGTTTAAAAAAAATGATCACCAAGGCAAATACTTGAAATTCAACATTTGGGAAAACACTTTTGTGTATATGAAGACGAAATTAATAAAAATAGACTCTATGGAATCCTGTCATAAAGTACATTTAAAAAAAAACAAGCAATTATTGATGACACAGATATTTTTATAAAGCAATTTTAAATTTGCGTGAGTTTGAATGTATACGATGACCCATGATTTGCTAAACGATCGGTAAGTATCATCGAAAATATGATAATTCTTTCGAGAAATAAAACTAATAAACAAAATGATGCATTATGAATTTCATTTTCTAAAAGTGAATATGACTACAAATAAATTGCAGTTAAATCGTTTTTTTTTATTTTCAAAAATCGGTAGTCTATGAAGGAATTTTTATTTCTTAGTTCTAAGAAGAGCTTCACATTTGAAAATATTCAAATCACTAATTTTTTATACTACAAATGTATTCTTCAAGAGACCCTGTCTAAAAAGCTTCTAGTACAATCCTTAGAATATCAAAATGTGAAACATGATGAAGCTACTGTTGCTAATCACAAGAAGATTGTTTTATTCTATCTATTTTGGGACATATTCCATAGTCCTTCACCATCCTTTGACGTGATCCTCCAGAACTACAATAAGAAAATACTTCATGTATTAGAGCGAGCGGTTATTGATAAACGGGTTTTGATTATATGTGAAAAACATCTGTCACGATCTGTGAGCGTGTAAATTTCTACTCTATATGCTTCAACACATCTATTACATCATGTTTCACAAAAACCAGACTTTAACATAGTACATGAAACTTTCTACAGATGTCCGACCCATGAGAAAGTAAATTAATAAAAAAATTTCATATCTCCATACCTTGTATTTCAAGAGTTTTCTACAGATTAAGATATGAAATGGACCAGCTATCCGTACAAACTCTTTTGTGAAACACAATCTAAAAGAGTTGAAGTATATAGGAGTGAAATTTGTACCTATCCTGCCCTCGTCGCTCAAAGACTGTGACAAACACCTTGGCTATTTATATACTTCATCGTGCAGAACTGGATATTATATTATTTGGAGAAGAAATATTCATCATTTTGGATAAGGAAAAGGATTCTTTATATTTTTATTTTCAGAGACTGTAAAAACTTTTAAAACCTTAGAATACCAGAAGAGATTATGCAGAAAGACGAGATTTTCTATAGAATTAGAGTCTAAATTAAAAAATCTTTTTTCCTCATCCGAAAGGGTCTCAAGTGTGCAATTATTATAAAACCAGCTGTATTCTAGAACAAGACACATTGAAAATGAATTTGCGTGAAAATTAATTGCCGACAAAAAAAATCGTTCTTGAGAAAACACAGCAAGTTTTTTTTCTGTATTGTATCCACCCATTATCGGACATCAATATGAAACATGATCACATTGTATATTAATTGCTAAAATTTATCAAAGTTTGTAAGACTGTACTCCTCCTGATACAAACAAAAAAATTAGCTTTGCCTAAACTCCTTTAAGGATA